CACCCTCCCGGGCTCCCATCCAGGAGAAATCCCTACCAGCCTTTGTCTAGTAGGTCCTTCTGGTTGTCACCAACACGGCTGAGCGTGTGCACAGTTCCCTACCAGGTGTAGTTTACTTCTACCACTCCCTGCCTCCCCCTTCCAAGCCCAACTTTTTAATGTTTAAATCACTATTTTCAGTTCCTCTATTGATTACTTTTCTAACTTTAAGACATTGTTTACAAGACCAGAATTGCATATTTTTTCTTAGTGCTTCCAATGTTACTAGCCGTGGGCCACTCTAAGGAGAATGTTCATACATGGTCTTCAGACACCGAGAATTATTCATACTGTGCCACACGGTGTTTGCTTTACATCCGGCTCATGATTTTTTGTGGGCAGTTTTTCTGCTTTGCGTGGGAATTCTAATTCCCTCGTCCCTAGAAAAGAATTCTATGGTTTCTTCACCGTATCCCAACCATCTTCCAGCTGCTTCGTTCTGCTTACTGCCTGGAACCTACCCCACTCCTATTCCTGAAGAAGTTTTTCTTGGATCCCACCAAAATTCTGTTCAAATGTGGGCTACTCTGCACGCCTGTGGTACAGGTGGCATCATGAGACTTTTCATGAACTACTAGATTAGTTCAACCACTTCTTGAATCTTTATTTTCCTCTTTTTAAATTTTCATCTGCAAGTAAATACATCAGCAAAGTTAAAAGGGAAATAAATATCGAAAGTCCTTGATGTCTGAAAATGCGTTTACTTTGCAATGACAGAATTCTAGGTTCGAAACCAGTTTACTCAGTGCTCTGAAGACGCGGCTGTGCTGTCTTTGTTGTTGCTGCTGCTGCGGAGACATCTGGTTCCATTTCTGTTAGCAGAACGCACATCTTTATGGAAACTTTCAGGGTTTTCTGTCCATCCTTGTTTTTCTGAAACATCACAGTGACAATTCTAGCAGCAGGTCTTTATTCTTTTGGGCAATGGATAGACCCTTTCAATATAAAGACTGCTCTTTTCTTTAGCGCCTGGAAATTTTCTTCTTCTTACAGTTTTTAGTATTTTCCTCCTTGCAATTCCTTGTTCCCACTTCCCGGAAATTCTAGTAGATGCTGGATCTCTAGATTGATCCTCTACGTCTCTTTTTTCCACACATTATTTGCCTGTTATTTTGCCTGTTATTTTGAGAGATTTTCTTGATTTATCTTCTGATCTATCTACAGAATCTTTTTTAACTTGGCAAGCCCATAATTCATCTTCACAAGCTCTTTTATTTTGATTGTTTTTTCCTGATGGCATGTTGTTGTTTTATAGATGCCACATCTCCTTGAATATTTTGGGAGAATAGTAAATAGTATGCTTTTAAAAACAAGCAAAATTATCTAATGGTCTGTTTCAGTTAAGGTCAATTTTTCTGTTTCTCTTTCATTTTGCAATTTTCCTCAATGTCTAGTGATTCTTGGTTAGCCATTCACATTAAAAAACAAAGAAACAAAAAAACTACGGGTCACCAAAAAGAGAATGAAATACTGATACATACTACAACTTGGATAAACCTCAAAAACACAATGCTACGTTAAAGCAACCAGACATAAAAGGCCATATGCTGCGTGATCTATATGACACATCAAGTAAGTAAATCCACAGGAACGGAAAGCAGAGTAGTGGTTGCCAGGGGCTGGGGGGAGTGGAGAGTAAGTGCTTACTGGGTGCCAGGCTTCCTTTTGGGATATTAGAACTAGATCAAGATGATGTGAATGTACTAATTGTCACTGAATTGTATACAGCAGGTCCTCAGGTGACGTCGGAGATCCGTTCCTATGGCGACGTAACGAGATTTTCGCCGTAAGTGTGAACCCACCTACATAAGCACCTACGTCACTCACATGGAGCACACACACAGCAGTAATGAA